TACCTAAAAAAAAACCCTTTTTTTCTCCTATAAATTTTTTTTTCGAAAAAAAAAAAAAAAAAAAAAAATATATATATATATATATATATATATATATATATATATATATATATTATTAGGGCTCACACAATCAAGGAAAACACAGGATTTGACAGGGATGCAGTAAATAGTTGTAGAAAACCACAATAAGAAGGTTAAGCAACAGAAAGTCACAGACAGAAAATTTAGTGGAACGAAAAAGTAAGGTTGAAAAAAGTGTCATGTTGCATCGATGCAGTAACTCATGCAAAAGGAGTCCCTAACACATATATTCCATAGTCCATAGACAAAATAGGATGATACTTCTGCCTTAATAAAAAAATATTTATATCAGTCTTATGTAATATTTGGAGAAAATGTATTTTGACTTTTATTGGCTAGAAGGTGTAATCATCAAAATCAACAGAACTAAAACACCTAAAATATGTCACTAAATTTGTATAACTTTATATAAGTTACACTTTTCCTATTCAATAACTGAAATAACATGTTTAATGTTTATCTAATTTAAGATGCACCTGCTGAATAAAACAAAACTTCTAAGATAACTTTCCAATGATCTTCTGACCAATAACAGACGTCTGATTTCTACATCTCATTATTTTTTAGTTGTAAAACCAGCTAAAGAGCCAGAGATGCAAGCGAATAAAGAAAAAAATGAGTTGACATCGGAGGGAAACAGAAACTCTTAAAAATTATTTCAGTTGTAGACAGGAAGAGAGGAAACAGAGTTTTTAAATAAACACACACAAAAAAAAACTCACAGTCAGCAGCAGTAAAGTTGGGCAAGGAGTCGTAACTCTTCTCACTGTTCATAATATCCTGGAGGAGGAAAAAAAACAAGAAAAGAGGGGATTAAAGTGTGTCACTGTCTGCTGATTAATAAAAGGATTATCTGATTTTGGCAACCAAGCTAATTTCTGCTCCGGGTTTTCATTAAGTTCTGGAGATGGATTAACAATGTGACACAGCTTTCGGCAATTCAGTAGTCTCAGCTAAAGCTCCGTGGAGTTTAGCTAAGCAGGCAAGGGAAAGGTGGAGACGCCTTGGTAAATGAGCTGAGAGATATAATTGCTGGTCTTTTCTCCAGTTTATAAAGTAGCAAAAATAACAGAGTCTGTTTCTCATATCGCTCCAAGTAAAACGGGATCTATGCCACATGAGGAGAAATCTAATATTCCAACTGTCATCTGCATACACATATGTAAACAAAGAGTTTGTGGTGATGCAGAAGATTTGGTATGTTAATGAACATAATCGGAAAAGTGGCTAAATAAATACCTGCAACATTTTATAGGAGTGTCCATTATTTCAGCAGCATATTTTTACTGATTACCATATTTTCCGCACTATAAGGCGCACCTAAAAACCTTCAATTTCCTCAAAAGCCGACAGTGCGCCTTAAAATCCGGTGCGCCTTATATATGGACCAATACTGAGCCACAACAGGTCTAGAAACTATGGTAAGCAGCTGCCGACTTCATTTTCACCTGGAGAAGAAGAAGCGCGCGGTGAATGCTGGGATTGTTGTCAGAATGCTGGTTTGTTAATAAAGTTTGACTGACCTATCTACCTACCGACTGTCTATAATCAGGTTGTCTTGCAGGTCATTTAGCACCATGTTCTCCACGAACATGCTGTGCACGAACGGAGAAGGGTGACCATCATCCGGCCACGCCCCAGCCCAGTCGCGGAAGGCTCTCCTCGCCGACCGGAGTCGGACTGTTTTCTTGACATTCTTTATGTCAACAAAGTGGCTTTAGACATTCATCCGGGGTGCTTCACTAGGGTTACCAAGGGACCAGCCCCTATACATTTAAAGCTGGGAAGGGGGCGCGGGAAGAGAGACAGAGACTGCGGCGGCAGCGTGTCGGTTGGTCTGTGTTACCCAGAAAGCAGTTGGGCACAATATCACAACACCAACAACACCGTGAGTGAAACAATGACTGGGGCAGTCTACTATATAAACTACTCAGGGATCACCTCTTTATTGCTATACATCCAAATTTGTAGAGTACGGAACAAAGGTACGGGTGGCAACCCTAATAACTGTAGTGTCTATTCTATGCGCCTTATAATAAAAAAAAGTTTTAAAATATGTCATTCATTGAAGGTGCACCTTATAGTGCGGACAATACGGTAATTCTATTAGAGTTAGTACTAGCAAACAAATGAAGCAGTAAAAAAGTTATGTAGATACACAGAAGCTAAAAATAGCACAGCTAACACCAAATTCCTACTGATTTCACCTCTTTATGTACAAGTTAACATTAGCGCTGCAGCATAGCCACCAGCTACAGGAGGTTAGAAAAGCTGCAATTTAAAACTCCCATGTTTCAATGAATTAAAGCCACTAGATTTTTAAAAATGCTCTCATTTTTTAATCTTTTGGAAACAATTAAGGATTTTTTTAGAGAGTTTTGTAATTTCTTTTTAAATATTGTCATTAGCATTGTAAAATTAGTAACCGTAGGCAGCATGATAAAAACCAATCACAGTTCACAAGTTTAAAGTTAACGAAACAGCAGCTACGCCACCTGGTGGCAGAGAGAGGAATCCATCAGCGGATGGATGGAAGGTCCAAAACGTAGAATGATCCAAAGCTTGTCTCAAAGTCAACTGGAGGACTTAGACACTGGGGATTAGGTGTAGATTTCACAAGAACCTTTATTTTAATAGTAAAGTGAATTATATTGTGGGGGTTTGAATAACAATTAAGTGCAACTATAAGTTGCACTTAATTGAATTAATATGTAAAAAGTTATCCTCGCTTTATGCTGATTTTAATGATTTAACATCCAAAAAGGTTTGCCAAATAATATTGTCACACTTGTGTTTTCTCTAATTAAAACGGAAACTGACACAGAGCTGGTGACAGCTCACATCCTCGTCAATGTCCGTTTCTCCAGCCAAAACACACAATCCTGCTGTGCTGCCAAAATTAAAGTCATCGTTCACTTCAAATGAACAGAGACTGGCTGTTTCAAAACCAATTAGAAAATCTTCACAGCTGTAACAAGAATTTCTGCTCTGAGTGAATCCACCCCGTCAGTCAGAAAGCAGCGTCTGAACAACAGAAGATGTTCTGCTGATTTAGAAGAGACTGATCTGGCAGAAAAAAAAAAGTGTTCAGTGTTTACAAGCCCTCCACTCCGGTCAGAGACTCCTTACCTCCATGATTCCTATGTAGTACGAGAACGGGGTGACTCGCAGCCCTTTGACCATGATGTCAGACAGGTGGTAGGGATACAGCATCAGGTGGTCCCGGCTGTACTTCAGCAGCTCCTCATAGTACCTGCGCTCATCCTTCCTGACGTGGCGGACTGCTCGATAAAAAAAAAACAACAAAAAAAACACACACCCACGGGTAGCGGTCAGGTCACAGCCAGGGGCAAAAAAAAGTTTGCAGTCGATCAATAGCTGATCAATTCGGGGCTAAAATGAGACTCACTTATCTAAGAACACCAGGAGGTCACAAGAGCAGAAACTCTGCTTTCACTTTGATTGCATGCAGAGTTTTCTACTGTAACCACTTTCTAAACTCAAATAGATGAAAAGACACATGATCTATTGCATCCCTGCTGACAGTTTTCGTTAATCTCTCCATCATGACTCATTGCGATCCGTTTACGTTCTGCAGCAGTGTGGCAGACGGACGTGCTCACCTAGGTTATTGCGGAATCGCAGCTGGTTGCGGATGCTGTACAGCAGCACATGCTTCTCATACTCGCGCTGTGAGTTCCCCAAACTCTGCAAAAGAGAACAAAGGCACACCTGTAAAGATCGAGGCAGGATTATTCTCACCATGTAGGCAGCAGAAACGAACAGGGACTCTCTTTCAGAACTGCGTTCCTCCTGCTGGTTGTGCAATGTGAACAGTTTTCCTGTTGTGCTGACTTATTTCCTGGCCTAGGACTCACTGTGGTGTCATTTTTATCCCAAGACATTTAGACATGTCCTTCCTGGGTGTTGCTTTGTGTTTTTAGAAATGTCATTTTTCCATATCGTTAGCATAATTTCCTTAGATTTAAACTCAACAGGATGTTAATATGGATTACGCAAAAACACATCCAGGTCCTACTTTTGGCTTGCCGGTTAAATACTATGCGTGTTGGAAGGCTAATGCTATTGCTACACATCGTCCTAAGCAGCACGCTACGGCCAAACATGGTGTCAGCATCATGGCTGGCCAGTGAAATACTATGTGTGCTTCCCTCCTGCCAGTTGTGCAATGTGAACAGTTTTTCTGACTGGATGCTTCTTTGAGAGAGTTGGGACTAAATATGAGGCAAAAATGGAAGAAAACCTGTTAGACCGTGCAAAAAATTTGAGGTGGAGGTAGAGCAGCAAAATCTAAACAATGTCCAATGGCTCTCTGACAGAGCTTGAGTTATTTTGCACACAGAAACAGGCTGAACGTCCCACCTTTAAATGTGCAAAGCAGGTGGAAACATTCCCCATTTGGTATGCATTGATTGAATATAAATGCATGCAAAACCTTTTAGGTTTTTCCTGGAATTATTTTCTAACTAGATTCTCCCCCCCGCCCCCTTCCACTTCATAAGTATAATCAACCAAACAAGATCCTCATAAAATGCATTAAAGCTTGCACAAGCATCAGTCCTGCAGAAGGCCTGTGACTGGACGGAAAGTTTTAAACTAGAATAAAACTAGAATGCGTGCAGCAGCACAAAGCTTTTGAATGCAACCCCCCCTCCACTTCCTTCCGAGCTTAAAATCAAGGCATGCAGTAGGACGGATTCATTTGGACCGGGTGTGAAAACACCCTTCGTTGTACTTGATGCACAGATAAAACCGATAATGCTTGAAGGTGTGCGTGCAGAATCTGCAGGTGGGCCCCCCACGCACTAAGATCATGTGGCGCCTCGTATCAACCCGTCTGTCATGTGATGACAGAGCAGCAGAGAAGAGGCAGGCTGAATGGCTTCAGTAGATGGATGGTGGTCGGCTACGGTTCCGTAGCAGAGGAGGAGACTCTTGACAGCTGGCTGAATGACACACGCAGCTCCGCCGTGACATTGCCAGCCCCCTGCTCCGTGGCCCCTCTCTGCCGCCCACAAAGGGAAACATTTAAAAGCACGGTACCTGTTTGACATTCGCTGGCAGCTTGTTCCACGGATAATTCTGCCTGATGTGAAATTCCACGTCCGTGTTCATTGCTAGCTACCGAGCTGGCTAAGAGCAGAATCCTTCGAGGCGACGTGAAGCGGGCTCCCGTGCGAGTCCACGGTGACTTCAGCCCTCCTGGCACCCGAGCATGCAGCAGAAACACCCCAGATGTGAGGAGACGTTTAACCTGTTGGTTATTTTCCTTCACAGTAAACGGCAACTTCCTTGTTGTGTTTTTTAGCGTCACTTCCGGTTGAGGCGTGACGCTAGAGCTGAATGGACCTTAGGAGAGAGACGGCGGGGGATAAAACTCTGCTCACTTTGTCTCTAATCTATGTTTCTAATGGAAATACGTTCATTTAGACAAAAATTATTATGGATTCAAGTCCTTGTAGGGAGGATGCCGGATGGTCTGTTTAAATATTCAGCGATATGACACTTAATTATATACAATTTTGTTTATTAAATCCATTGTCCCTCCAAATTAGTTGTGAAGAGAATAATCTAAGGCTAGCATCCTTTAGCAATTATATACTGTTCGTATTATTATTAATAATAATCATAATTGGTAGTACTACTAAATAGTAGTACCAAATAGTACTAAATAGTACTACTACTACTAGTTACTAGTAGTAGTAGTAGTAGAAGTAGTAGTAGTAGTAGTAGCATTTATCTGCTAGCCAAAAATAGCAAAGGAGTATACATTTTCAAACAGTTGAAGCATTTATGGTATTTCCACAGCTACTCAAATTCCACAGCAATTATTTCACACCAACTAAAAGTTAAACTGACAGCAGGTCCTACTTTCTGATTAATTCAATACATAGCTATCTCATCACGTGAGGGCACCCAGAGTGTCAAAACTTTTTATTCCCAGACAATCAGTTGACTGTGACATGACAACTAAAGTAACATAATAGGCAATCCAGGTGAAGATCCAAACTGGGAGAGCAACAAATGCTGCACACACACTTCAAAGATGTGGCAGGACTTGTTCTACAGATTCAGCTTCATTTCATTATGCTTGGATCTGCTTAACACGTTTTCCACCATCGTTGCAGTGTGGCAGTCTCTGTTTCTCCTTAAAAAGATGTGCAAAAACCCTTATTATTTACTGCAGAAGCATTTTTTTCTAACACATTTGTTCCCATTGTTACAACAAAATAAAGATGTTCTATTCTTTTGTGTTCTATAAAGATCTTCATAGCTCTCTGTGAAGAGATCTAGTACAACAGAAAGTGGCAGCTGACCAAATCTCCATAACAACCAGTCAGTGCTATTTGCATGCTACCTGGTTAATTGGAGCAGGATGCAAGTAAAAAAAACCTGCAAGTTTAAATGTGGAGTTGGCTATATGCTATTTGGACTTTATAACTTTAACTGTGTGTTTTGTTCAGATAGGATGAAGGTTTTTGCAACAAACACTCCAGGTGAGTCTAGTGTCAAATAAATTATGAATTTGTGAAAATGTAAAAAAATGTAAACAATACTTAAGAATAAAAATATACCAATTTTTGTGTAAAAGAAATGATCAGTTGTTTTTTCTACAGTTTCAAGGTTGAATTTTGATTTTATTTACATTGATGTCTTCATAGTTTAGTGATATAATAAGCAAAATAAATTTATTTAAATTCCAAAAGATAGCAAAAGATGATAAGAGTTCCAACAAATCTAAAGCTAGGATATTTTCCCCCTGTTTAGATGTACAATGAAGGGAAAACATTAACCTCAGTGAAATTAATAAAAAAAAAAAAAATCTAAACCAATGAACAGGAAGTCTATTATGACTTTTACTAAGTTACAAAATATTTGCAATCACCCACAACTGGGGAGATTTGAAAATAAAAAATGGACGGCATTTTGTTTACTTCTTCTGGACAAAACAGGAGCTCCAGTCTTTTCTTCTAACACTCAAACTGATGTATTCAGTTGTTTTTATATCTATGTCTACAAAACAAAAGAAAGAAAACTAAAATCCCATATTTCATGGAAAAAAAAATATCTATGCACACATTTGTGATAACCAGCAACCTATCATTATCAAGCAGCAAGAAACCAGCAGCTGCAGAGAAAGTGAGAATTAGCATTTCTAAAAAAAATAAAAAAAAAAAATGCTACATCTTACAATTATTTTTAACACATGTCTTCCAGTGACACCTTCGTCTGCAGGAATGGAGTTGTAACTTAGTAACTGGTGTCAGTGACAAAGTCCTCCAAAGCGCCACATGCTCTCAAGGCTGATCGCGCTGACAGCTCACTTTCTTCTAGCTATGTTATTTTATCTGCCGACACGAAACCCCAGATCTTGGTCATATGAGACTAAACAAGCATGACAATAATTCATCCAGCTACTCTCTAAACTGTTCAGAGTGCAGGGAGTGGCTACATTCAAGATGTTACTTTAAAATAAAGACTCACTTTTACTGGAAAATGTTCCATGGTCTAATGTGCAACTAATATTTAAAATAAGAGAGTCAAAAATGGTTTGCTCTTAGAATTTAATTCACTTTAGTTATATAATACAAATTTGCTTGTATTGTGTCAGTGACTTTATTGCAATCCCTTACACCAAGAATTAATTTAGATTAATTTTGAAGTTAAAGTTTTTTTTAGTTTTTTTTTTTAATGCAATACCTTTCAAAATTATTTACACTCCTCATCATGAGTTGAGCAAAAGCTGTGAAATAAATGAATGTTTTATTCCAGAAACAAATCTCGCAAAGAGAAGTGGGTTGCTTTTCCACATTTTTATCATTTGATTTATGCCAGACTCACCTGGAGTTGCTGAAAAAAATCAGACACATCTAATTTCAAGTTGAGCTCCCAGTGGAGTCTATCAACCTCCACACCTTCATATTTGACTCCTTTAGAACGGCACTGTTTGTTTGGAGAGTCACTTGTTAGATTTTATTGAAGTCTAATAAAAGTCATGGATTTCTGTTATGGCTGTTGGTTTTGGTGTGCCTTCCCATATTGTTACTCCTTACAAAACTTAACAGATGGACTTAAAAAAGAAAATAATTGAGATTGTTGGTTTTACTTTTGCTTCAGCTCAAAAGAAAACATTTAATCAGAAGTTGGTGAATGATACAGCATTTCAGGGTTAGCTTTACTTGGCATATCCGTGTACACAAATAACAAATTTAACTCTCACAGCATTTGGACGCGTATACCTCCACTGGTTCTTACAGCTGTTTGTCCTGATCAGTGCAAATCTATATTTGCCACCGTAGTGAACTACATGCATCAGAGAGGTGGAGGAGGAAAGGTTCAAACACCAGGTTGTCAGCTCAGGAGCTCTTCAATTAAGCGCCATCCAGGGTGGGCATGCCTCACGATTGATTCAAGACCCTGGGATGACCGTCCCACTCCGGGACCATTGTTTTCGCCGCCTCTGTTGGACCCCGGCGGTGCCACACAACCCCGTGTCACATGAGAGGCCCGGTAGAGTCACGGTGGCCCACCATGCTATTCTTAGATGAAGGAATGTACACAGTGGCCTCATGGCACTCTCCACAGCGCCCAGCTGGAAAACTCTGTGTCATTTCTCTGTGTCATGGTCCCTTCCCGACACCTCTCTGGATTATATTTTAACTTTTTTTAGTCCCCCCTTTTTTTTTCAATTCATAGCAAACTGATGATATTCTGTGGATGTTATTGACTCTCTAAGGACAGGAGGTAAGGGTCCATGGCATCATGAATTTAGCTGGACTGAAAAATAACAGGCTTAGCTAACAGATATTGCTTTAAAAAGTCTTCAGCTTTAGACTCAACGTGTGTTTTTAATATGTTTTAAATATTAAAAACACACTGATTAGCTCAAAAAGCGTCAACTGTGTGCTGCATTTTTTTTGTTATTAGCAACCGGTCTTAATTTTATGGAGCTAAGCAGAAATTAGAGATTATTTACTTCTGCCTTAGTGGGTGAAGCAGTTTAAAAGTTTTGTTAAACCACATTTATGTACATAAATAATCAGCATAATAATCTGCCTCATAATCTGTCAAAATATTGTCTGAAGGATCAACTTTTTTGTCTCCCTGCTGGAGGATCTTCATCACAAGCATAAAGAGGCAATGAGAAGATCTGCATATTTTTCAGATTAAGATTCTTTATATTATCGCTGATTATAATTACAATTCAGTCAGTGATTACAAAGAAAACACTAACGAGAACTAATAATTAATAAATACACCAACGTCTATTTTCTAATCATTTCAATAAGTAAAAAGAAACACAAGCAACAACAATAAAACACATATGCCAACATTCATTCTACGGAATGCTTTTACTTCCGACAATGAGAGTTTTGTGGATTGGAGTGTGAACTTTTAAAATTATTACCTAAACTGACTAAAGGTTTAACCTTTATGAGAAGTTCACTCGTCTCTCATAGACTCCAAGACCAGGAAACGCATCATAAAGGTTAAACCTGTAGAGTTTAGAGTACATGAAAAAAAAAAAAAAAGACTTTCATAGCCAGGAATGTTAAGTTTTCTGACTTCAGAGTTTTTGGTGGGGCGATAGCTTTGGAGGAGCAAGTGTCTGTTGGTCCAACAGCTTCCTGCACCAGAACACTGGGAACAGAACATGATAAAAGAGATGCTACTTTATGGTCCAGAACTGATCAGAACCCGATCAGATCACTCTGATTCTTTCTCTTAACTTGCATGATCTGGAAATCTTGGCAGCTGTGGGCATGTAGACTTCTGGTGCGAAGTCTGCATGACGTGGTGAGCAACATCAAGATGAATAATCAAGAAAAGGTCATGCATCATTTCTTGCATGAATGATGCAGCCTTTCACCCATGAAAATATGGATTTTTTTCATGGGGTTTTTCTACCACATTCTTTAAACTTGGGAAGAGATCTAGAAAGTGGATAAACTATTTTTCAGTGAGAAAATCATTCATATTTTGAGGACTACATAGTGTTGTGATTAAATCTAAGTGTCCAACAAAGTTAGTTTGAAATTACTTGGGAATATGTAGTCCTTATGATTGAAAGATCATATCTGGTGTGTTTAAATAAATTTAATTCAGCTCAAATCCTTTCAGTTCAGACACACTGTATTATTTTCTATTCTACTGAAATTATTTACACAGTGTTAATTTAAAACAACTGTTACATAAAAAACCCTTTCTCGATTTAGAACAGGAATATAACATATGTTAAAATGAATCCAAGCCAATTTTAACTTTCACCAATTTGTAAGAAGTTGACAATGTAAGGAGAGTATTCATGAATAAAAGATATTAGAC